AAGAAGAAGAAGAAGAAGAAGAAGAAGAAGAAGAAGAAGAAGAAGAAGAAGAAGAAGAAGAAGAAGAAGAAGAAGAAGAAGAAGAAGAAGAAGAAGAAGACGGGTCCTTGCTCTGCTCTCTGAAGTTGGTGGTTTTCTTGCAGACATTTCATGACCCAACTAGGGAACGTTATCAGTTTTAGAAGGGAGGGGGGAGAAGAGGAGGGGGAGGAAGAGGAGGAGGAGGATGACTGTAGGGCCCTTGGTGCCCTCTGAGCTGGGTGGTTTTCTTGGAGACGTTTCATGACCCAACTAGGGAACATCATCAGTGCTAGAAGGGAGGAGGAGGAGGAGGAGGAGATATCAGCCAGGTTCTGGCAATCCAGGGCTGTCAATCCACCCCCAATTCCTGAGGTCCAGCTGCTGCTTGGGCCGAGCCTTCCAGAGCACAGTCTAGAATTCAGCCCCCAAACCCAGCCTGGGTGTCCCCACCACACTCTCCTGTGGCAGTCAATTCTGGCCACGGGAGTGGAATGCAAAGTTCTCCGCCACCACCCGCTCAGCTGTGAACGGGCGTGGGGCTTTCCCTTCCCAAAGTGTCCAGCAGTGGCCAATCAGTCATTCAGGCCAGGGCTACTGAGTTGATGAGCCCCAGGCCCGTTTAGTGCAAGACCCTGGTCTGGTGGGAATGAGCAGGCAGGAAGGCTGCTGGTCTTTCAGTTTTGGTTTATAAGGCGGAGCGGATGTTGAAGAACATGTTACAGGAACGTCACCCCCAACACAAAGGAGATCTCCTGGCTTCCTTCTGACTTCCTGGAACGGCTTCTTCTCGTTCCCAGTAAGGGCAGCTGCGCAGGAAGAGCGATTCTCCAGCTTGCACCCCGGGCTGCCCATCTGACCTTGGAGCTTCTAAGGGCGCAGCCCCTTCCTTCCTTCCTTCCTTCCTTCCTGGGAGAAGACAGGAGATGTGGTGTCCCTACTCCAAAGCAGCTGATTCTTCCCCAGAGGGAGAGCCGGTGGCCACGGCCCCCGTCGCAGGCGCGTGCCCCAACCCCTTCAAGCGCAGCACGAACCAGGGTAGGAGCACCGGGGCTTCCTCCATCAGGGTCTGCAAGCCCTGCTCCATCTGCACCCAGGCCTGGATGGCCTTGGGGCTGGACAGGGCGGCCACCATTTCCGGCCTCTGCATCTGCTGATAAAAATGCTGCAGCTGCTGCTGGAGGTGGTCCTGCCGGGCAGCCTGCGTCTCTTGGGAGGCGAGCAGTGCGTCCTGCATGAGGGAGAGCAGCACGCGCTGGGTGTAGGCGTTGCAGAGGTTTACAATTAGGGCCTGGATACCCCCTACATTGCACGGTCCTGCCCCAGGGCTGGGCACAAGGCTGGGCAGGGAGGACCCGAGAGGATCCTGAAGGCGGTTGAAGATGCCACCTTCATCGTTGCTTGAGTTGTTGGTGCAAAACCTCCCGTAGCTGTTGGAGATGGGGAAAGAGCCCGGAGGGCCTCCTGGGTGAAATCCCTCGCCACCCCTGACCTTGTGCTCTGGACAAGGGTTCCTGGCCAGGGTGACATAAGGGCTAGAGGTGGCAAGGAGGTCCTGGCCTGCATTCGGCCCTGGCTCCTGAACCTCACTGTTGAGTTGCCTCAAGGGGTTGTCCCCACCAGGAGTGTTGTTCTGAACACTAATCAGGAGTGGC